GGTTTCATACCAATCGTACGATGTTTTTTATTATTGTACTTTAATATGAGAATTGGTAAAAGATTAATCCATTTGTAATTGCCTTGTAAGTTGAATTCAGTCCACATCATATTTTTTAGAGTGCGGTTAAACCTTTCAACAATTGATGCTTTTAAATTACTATAAGTCGAATAGAGATTAATATTGAATTCTTGCATTAAACTCTGAAATTCAGAGTTATAAAATTCCTTGCCTCTATCAGTGTGTAAATTTTTTGGAATACGACCTTCTTTTAATATTAATTTCATGGCTAAAGATATATCTTTTCCATTTTTACTTTTTACAGGTACAGCCCAGGCATATTTGGAAAATATGTCTATTACTGTGAGCATGTATTTGAAACCTTTATTGGAATAGGAGTAAGGTATCATTTCTACCAAATCTGCTTGCCATGTTTCATCTATGCCACGCATTTGAACTTTACGACGAGGATAATTCCGTCTTGCTTGTTTATGCAGTTCAGTTACAACTGTTAACTTTTTATCATTCATCGTTTGGAATAAATGTAGTTTCCTTAATTATAATATTCTGTTGTAATTCAATTTGTTTTAGTTTTTCGTTAACTCTATCTTCGACAACTTGTATTAAAATATTTAAATCATTAATTGCTGATCTTAATGAAGATGTAATTTGAAAAATAGTTTTTATCTCGTTTCGGATAATTTGTTGTACAAGTCGTAAATTTACTGCATCATGCAGTTCTTCAGCGTCTCTAACGTTACAAAGTCTTTTGCCTTCAATATTGTAGTCTCCACTTGGGGTAACTTTAAATCCAATACCAGAAGGTCCAGGTAGTCCAGGACTTGCAACAGGTCGTGTTAAAAAATGTCCGAACACATCAATGCTCATTGTAATACTAAACACTTCTTCTTTATGCTCTCTCTTAATATATAATTCGAGCTTCACGAAGTTCTTCGATAATTGACATAATCTCATTATTATGACTTGGATTACCAGCTTGCTGTGATCCTATGAGTAGTCGTAAACGGTCAACGAGTTCATTTGGATCATCCCAATAGATGTAGTCTGGATTAAATTGTTTTTTTGCAATCATAAATTGTGGTAATATATTTTTATGCTTCTTTAAAGAACCACCACCACTTTTCTTTGGTGTACTTTTGATAAGTTTTGCAATAACATCAGTGTACTTGGAAGTTCTACTTATGTTGACAGATTCACTTGGACTATAATTTTTTCGATGTGCATTCGTAGCAATGAGAATTTCTTTATAATTTGAAAAATCATCTGAACTTATTAAAGCTTCTTTTGGTTTTTGCTTAAATAAAAGTTCAAGTAACCCAGCAGTTTTTAAATAATTTTTCTTTCCAATAAGCTTAATATGTGAACCTTCAAATTCAATAGGTGTATCACCAATCATAAAAGATCTGTTGGCAAGTTTACGTACTCCATAAACCATATCTAAAAACAGTTTTCTATTTTTATCTAACATAAAAATATATTTATTTGTAATTTTCTCATAATCTTCTTCTTCTTTTTCAAAGTTATTGCTCTTATCAAGTAAAGTTGAATTTAGTAGAGTTTTATCAAATTCTTCATCATCGTCAACAGCAGTTGAAAAAGAGAAATCATTATCATCTTTCTTGAATTTTTCAATTTTAACATTTTTGAAAGGAGTTTCAGTTACATTTGCCAACTTTTGAAGAGGTGCAACTATTGGTTGCAGAGTTTCTTTTAACAATGTCTCTGCAGCCTCTTTACCCATTCTAAGTAAGCGATGTTTTCGTCTAATAGCGTCGCTTGCTTTTGCTATTTGACGAAGTGTTTCTTGCTCTTTTCGATACATGTTTCCGTCTTGATAACATAAACTATACACGGAAAAAATTCTGGCTCTACAGACGTTTCACTCACGGCCCATTATTCGTACTGTAGGTTAGGTACATCTGTAGTCACGATATTCGCACTACGGTGGCGCGTAAGTGCTCGTCCTCTGTGCCTCATCTGTGGCTCGGCAGACGAGCCAGAGAATAATTTTCGGTTGTGCCAGAAATTAGTTCGTAATCTTATCGACAGTAAAAAAACTTATACAATATTTAAAAGTTTATGTACTAATAATAGTTGGTCCTAATAAATGTTTTTATCAATTAAATATGCATAGCTTCATAAGTGCAAAATGAAAAATATTATAAAATCATTAAAGGGCTTTATAAAAATGCAGATAACCAAAAACTCGAGACAGATGTTATGTTGAAGAAATTTGATTTATTTTTCAATTAATTGTAAAGTACATAAACAATATAAATAGTATACAAAAATTATAGAAAATGCTGTATAAACAATTAATATATTAAAAATAAATAATATCACATATAAATGAATTTAAATAAATTAAATTAATTATATTTAAATAAATAATTTAAAAAATTTTTTATTACTTCTCAGATTATTTTATTTTTTAAAAATATTTGTAAAATTTTTGAATTCAATTTATTATTTAATTTTTTCAATTTTACCAATAAATTATTTTAATTATTTAATTAATTATTAATTAACTCAATTTAATTAAAATTAAAAAGACTATTCTATAGTTTTCAGTTCTATAATTCAATTTTTTTTATTAAACAAACACAAATTTAATTTATTAACAGGAATTTTTAGGTCTGCTATGAAATAATGAAATATAAATTATACAAAATATAAATTTATTAAGAAAATGTAATATATTTTTATACAATAATTGTTGAGAGGTAAAGAAAAATCATGCTTCCTTCAGTTTCATGACAATTACAAATTACATTATAGACCGTATTGAGTGACGACGTATTTAGTTTTATTCATACACACTGGCAAAGCCTGAGCAATTCTAGGCAAATCTTCATGCTTTACAAGGATTTTTTTACCTATAAATTTCACAATGTATGCGTGAAAATGAAAATCAAAAGTCACTTCTTCATAAAAAATTACATAAAAGTAAATTTTGTTGTCTAGAAAAACAATGTCCAATATTTCCCCAAATTCGACTTCACTTTCTTTCGTATTCAAAATCAGAAATGAGCCAATGTTATATTGTGCACCTTCAATATTTACTTGACTGTAATATTTACATGAAGCGTTTTGATTGTCATCTTTAAAATACAATTTTTGTTTCTTAGAATGATTGACAGCTCCCAATTTAATAGGATTTTCATTTTCAATTGAGTGTAAAGTTTGACACATTCGCAAAGTTTGTTTCGTTGCAATTGTTTTTAAAAAATTTTTTTTACAATTTGTAGATTGTGCGGTAGATTTTATCGGTCCATGAAAAGACTCAAAACGCATACCCCAGAAATTAATTATTGGCCCATTCAGAAGCAAAAGTCTCGGATAATGTACTAAAAAGTGAAATTTAGGTTTTAAATTGCCATATAACTCTTCGTATAACGAATTCTGTTTTTCTATAAGTTGTTTTAAAACTTTTGCATCAGAACGAACAACGCGTGGCGAAAGTAATATATCTAGAATTCGACGCATATAAAGAAATAGCTGCCAATGTCTGTCATTTTTGGGTACCTTATCTCCTATAATCAAACCAAAATATTTTACGAAGTTTAACATTTCTGCCGCCGACATTTTCAAAGTTACAGTTTTTAATAAGCGATTCAAAGAAATTGCTGGTGGTTTATTTGAATTTCCAGTGGGCCCAAAATTAAAATTTTGAATTCTTAAATTAAGAGTCTGTAAGGTAAAAAATTTCTTTTCAAAAATAAAAGTGTTCAAAAGAGCGCTCATGATGTACGTACAAACACCTTCTAAAAAATCGTGCATTAAATCGACGGTTAAATTTTCCATTACGTGAAAGCCGTTGACTTTATTAAAGACACATTCTTCTTTAAGTCCACTCTTTTCTGCACCTAGCTTCAAATCACTTTCATAACTGTCTTTGGTTCTCAATTTTTTTTCATTTTCAATAAACATTTTAGCGCATTCTTCCCAAGATGCTTTACAAACTCTACAATAAAAATTACTGTTAAATGATTCTGTAAAACCTAGTATACTATTGAGTCCCAAATTGTCTCCCAAAATTAATACTAGTTGAAATTTCACTCGAGTTAAAACATTATTTACTTTGATTAAAATACCCTCTTTATTTAAAAAATTTAATTCTTCAATTAATAGTTTAAAAGTTTTTTCATTACCACATAGTTTTTTGTCAGATGAATGCAATAGAGTGGAAAAAAGAATACTGTGAAGACGAGAAGCTAAGCGAGGAGGAAGAGAAGCAATTGACACATAAACAGCTGAAAATTTGTTTGAACCTTTATGGCTACCAAGTGGGTTTCCCACTTCTAACTCGTCAAAAAAAACGTATAAAGGAAGAACAATATCATCATTGAATTTTTGAAAATAATTAGTTTGCCATAGGTCTCCTTGGATAATATTTGTGATAATGTTTGATTCTTCACTTAATTCTTTTATGTAATCCATTATATCACGAAATACTCCAGGAATTTGTAAAAATAATTTTAAAGTTTCACGTAACGGAAGAAAAATTCCCTGTATACTTTCTGGCACGAGTTTTACTTCATTGTCGACAATCGTTTCTGTTAAACTTGTTCCAATCGTAAAATATTTGTGATCAATAAACCCTTTCTTCTTTAAAAGATGAAACCGTTTCGGTTCTGTGTCCACATTCGCAAATATTGTACTATATCTATAAAAGCATCGATTTATTTCACTTAATGTAGATTTCGGAATATTTTCATTTTTTAAAATCGTCAGAATATCGTCTCTTAGCGAGGGTATAAAAATTGTGCTCACAAATTCATGACAAAAATTCATCACGTCATCTACTACTTTTCGTGGCAAATTTGAGTCACCGTACAAGAATAAAATAAATGTTAAAATGTAATTGACCGTCGCAATGATATCCATTTTATTTTCTTTTATAAATAATTAACGTCGCAGAAACAAGAACCTTAAGTAAACTAATAACACAGGAATAGTCGTTGGCAAAATTTCGAATATAACTCTGTTATATAAACTTTATAACTTTTTTAAATCTACTACAAATTTGGTGACCCAGGTGTTCTTAGTGTTTAAATAATCAAGTTTGTAAATCACCTTATCAAGGAACAACCACACAAAATCGCAAAGAAATGAGAACGAATCCAAAGCAATCAAACACTTAAAACAGCAGTCGATAGCTTTTAAGGGATCCGTAAAGGCATACCTTTCGCTGTTTACAACTATAGAAATTTGTGGATTTTCGACATTGCCCAAAAAAATTAAGTAAGGGTAAATTTCTTGACTTCTATCTATCAACCAAGTCTCAAAACTGTTCTGCTCATCATTCAAATCGTCAGCATTCTAAAACAAAAATGAATTTGAAAAAGTAATTTCTTAAATATGATTACAATGTTGATTTAATTTGAAAAAATTTTAAAGACACATTTCTCTTTACCTGTATGTGTAGAATGAAACATTTTGAACTTTCTTGCTTCGTCACAGTAACTGGTCCAGAATTGAGTTCTACTTTTTTAGGAGCAGATCTAAGAATTAATGGTAATACCATTAAAGCCAATATACTATCGTGAGTACCTAAAGACGTATTTGTTTTCAAAGAATGAATTATATTCATAATATTTACAACTTTATTATAAACATAAAAGTAAAAAATAGTTTGTAACTAACCTTTTTTGATTAATATTGCGTGATTTAGAACGAACTGTTTTACATCGACAGCTTTGGATTTTTCACAAATAAGTAAAATTTTTTTTGCCAAAATGGGCCACTCGGTTAAAAGCAATTTCGAGTAATCTGGTAATTTTTCCTTTTTCTTAGAATAAATTTCCTCTGCAATTGTGTAAAAATCCTGTTCCAACTGTAAAACAATTTTTCATAAAATTAGATAAAAATGGATTTTATTACTCGGTCGTTTCAATAATAAAATTAGAGTCAAAATGGTGACCGCTAATTTTCTAATATTATTTTTTAAAATTTTTTGAAAGACAAGTTTTAACACAAGAAAATTCTTTCTAAACAAAACTATAAGTAATAAGAAATTGTAAGAATAACGAATAAAAATAATTATTAATCATTATTATTAATAATAATTATTCAAATATATTTGAAAATAATAGAAACTTCTTAACCAATGACAATCCAAGTGGAGCTTTCAAGCATTCGAAACTTCTAAAATAAGTCTGTAAAGAACAAGTTTTAGTTTTCTTTTCCTTTTCCTGAAGCTTTATTCTCCGTTCTTTAAAAGTATCCTCCCAATATTTGGAAATTTCTGTTAATGAACTCGATTCTGGACATGAAGTTACTACAGAAGTCAAATTGCTAGCGCCTAGACAAAATAATTTGGCGTAGTTACTATATGATTATTAATTTTATTTTCAATAAATTAGAAGTAAAATCAAAGTGCCCAGCGAATCTGAAGAAAAATTTTTCCTGACTTTTCTCTGACCTTCGTTCTCTATTTTTCTACCAAGAAATTTTTTTGTTTTTTTAGGTAACGATCTCTGTAAATTTAAACATTTGATAAAATAAAATTAATATGAACTTTTAGCGACTTTCTATTCGTAAAATTTTTTTAACTTTATAAATATAATTATTTTTGAAAATTTTTATAAAAGTTCCCTGACTTTTTATTAAATTTTCTGACTTTCCCATGAATAAAAAAATCCCTATTATTTTCTGACCGCCAGACACTCTGGAAATAACTGTCTCTTACTCTGGTCACTAATTTCATTTACAGAGTTTTCGTCTGTTAAAATGTCTGCTTCACGAAAGTCTTTTCTGACAAGCCTATAATAATTGTACATGCATCCTCTGGCACTTACGGTATCTCTACTTTTACTTTCGGAATATGGAACATAAAGATACTCGGGATCTTCCGTAGGAAACAATTCTGTCACTTGATCTCTTATTCTTTTAAAAACTGCAGATTTTATTCTATAGAAAAATAAAAAACTAAAATAAATAAATCAAAAACGAAAGACAGTTCAACTTACTTATGATTTATCGGATCCTCTGCTATTTCTCTGTAAATGATCAAGTGTTTTAATAGAGAGTAATCAACATATCTGTTTTTCTTATATTTCCCCAATATTACTTTTCCTGGTAGCGAAGAATTTAAAAAATGATACAAATCATTCTCTATGAAAATAAATTCATCTGAAAAAATAAGAAATATTTGTAAAGTGAAAATTGGAGATTTCAATTTAATAAATAAATAAATGAAATTAATAAATAAACAACTTGTAAAATTTAGGAAATCTGCGTAAATTTTATAAAAGGAGTGATAATATAGATACTAAAAAGTTTATCTTGAAAAAATGTTCAGAATTTTTTAAAAAATAAAATGTATTATGCGTACAAAAAAATAAAATATTTAAAGAAATTATCAGTCTAAACTATGCAAAATGTCCAATGTTTTATTATTTATCTATCGTTTATAAAATAGACTTTCATTACGATTATTTAAATTCCAAATAAAAAATACAAAAACAATTAATCACAATAATATTGTCTAAAACAATCGCTTAAAAACTTCCAATACCACAACTTTCACTAAGATGAGATGCCGATTCCTTGGCTTGAGAATTATCCAAGGCATTGTTTTGACTATCTACTGCCGACGAATTTGAAACCCCGTCTCGAGAATCTTCGTTGATAATATTTACGGAATTATCTAATGTTGGATTTAAATTACCGAAGGGATTTTCTATTGACGAATTTTCAAATTGAACTTCCATTTCTTCGATAGAAATGTTTTTATCACCAATTTGCGACATAATTAATTTTTTCAAAAATTTCGAAAAAATTCTCCATTCATTAACGACTTGCTACTTTAACGAAATTTATCTGTTATTTACTGATAAAGTAAAATAATATTTAAGTGAAAAAGCTGTAAACAAATGATATATCAAACAAATTTTGTGACAGATATAAAAAAGTTTAACTTAACCTACAAATTTCAATCCGAAGCCTTTAAAAACTTGATTTTGTCTATATATATTATATTTGCACACTATTTTCACAAATACATTTTAATAAATTTTGTAAATTAACAATTTTTTATATGAAAGCGATAAAATGTACTTCGAATTGGAATATAAGAGGTTAGGTTGAACAACAATTTAACAAAGGTTAAAACATTTACATCTCTTTGAAGTGAATAAATTTAAAAAAATGTTTAAAAAGTACTATAGAAGTTTTTACTTACATCTTAGCATTTCGCTATACAGACTTACCGGCCAGTCCGTCTGAAGAGCCAGAATTTTTTCCGTGTACTAATTTGAAATGAAATAAAGTCCTTATATTTATATTGTAATAAAGCAATCAAATCCCTTCCTATATCTTCCTTCATTAATATTCCTATCTTTATCAATAACGACAAATCCATATTTATCAGATTTCCAACATTCTGAACATAAATCACGAAATTGAGTATAAGACATGTCTGTATTTACATGATCTTCGTAGACATGTTTTAAATTTTTTTCATCTTGTCTAAAAAGCACCAGTAAATTTACATTATCTCGCACCAAGTGTTTTGGAATACGAGCATATGTTTGACACAAGTAGAAACTGTCAACATTTACATGTCTACCCATACAAAAGAAAGCTCTAACATTGTCTTGCTTTTCACAAGCAATATCATCAAAGATGAATATTGAGTTTGGTTTAGCATCTTTTGGAGATACTACTTCTTCATGCTCACTAAATGGAAAGTATTCAATTCCATCCACGTCATGAATTACATTTTTTAAAAATTGATATTTTGGCTGCTGCAGAGATTTAGAGTATAGGTAAATATTTTCAAAACTTAAACCATTTGGATGTATGATTAAAGAGAGAAGAGCGTTTGTTTTACCACAATTTGAGGGACCACAAAAGACAGCTCGGATGGTATCTGAAAACAAGCTACCATGACGTTGAATTTTTTTCTCACTACTTTCAACGTCAATACTTGTGATTGGGAGTGCTACAGGTTGTTTCGTGAACTGCATCTTGACAGTAACTGCTCTGTAAACTATAAATACTCGGCTTTTATAGTCTTACAGTCAGTTGCACATCAAACTTCATAGAGTGTAGAATGATTTTACATCGAAGTGATAAAAAACATCTTTGTCGTGGTAGAGGATTAGTTAACCGTATTATCAATAGTTTACCTTTTGAATTACATTTACCTGGATATCAATTCTGTGGACCCGGTACAAAGTTGACAAAAAGATTAGCACGTGGTGATAAAGGTGTTAACCCATTAGACGCTGCATGTAAAGCACATGATATTGCATATTCGCAAAATCAAGAAAACATTAAAGCAAGAAACGTTGCAGACCAAGAGCTAGCTGAAAAGGCGTGGCAACGTGTTACAGCTAAGGATTCTAGTATCAGTGAAAAGGCAGCAGCTTTAGCGATATCAGGAACGATGAAAGCTAAATCAACATTAGGTATGGGAATGAAAAGGAAGAAAAAGTCTACAATAAAGAAGAAAAGAAAAACCATGTGTAAGAAAAAGCGACTAGTATTAAGAAGAGGGAGCTCTTGCTGGTGGAGCTTCAGGTATAGTGAAAGCTGTAAATAAGGCTAAAACTGCCAAGGAACAACTTGTTGAAGCTCAACGACATAATAAAGCAATGGAAGCAATATCTCTTGGAAAAGGTTTACATCTCAAACCCTACCGACAAGGACTTGGTCTTCATATTAAACCCTACATTCAGGGAAAAGGATTAAAAAAGAAGAAGAAACCAACATTAAGGAAGAAAAAAAACTTGCATTGAAGCTACCTCACCGTCCTCTAACTGATTTTGATCTGTTGAAATATGCTAAAACTATGAAAATACCATATTTTCGAGGAGTTTTTATGCGAAATGAACTACCTTTTAAAGGACCTTATCGATATGAGTCTGGTATTATTAACTTGGATAATAAAGAAGGTCCAGGAACACATTGGGTGGCATATAAAAAATGTAATAACGAAATAATGTATTTTGATAGTTTTGGCAACCTTCCTCCACCAACAGATCTAATCACATACTTGGGTGACGGTAGCTTAATAAAATATAATCATGAGAGATATCAAAGTTATGATACTTATGTGTGTGGACATTTATGTTTAAAATTATTTTTCCCACCAATAGAACTTAATCCAAATAAACATTATGTTCTTGGTCTTGTTGAATTACTGACTTTTAATTCTATTCCCAACATTGATAAAGGTAACAATAAATTTTACATTGGTAATCATATAATTGATATACCAACTGGAAGTTATGAAATTAAAGATATTGAAACATGTATAAAAGATTCTGTGAAACTTGGAACTGTTATTAGTATAAAACCTTATAACAATACATTACGCAGTTTAGTTGAATCAAATTTACCAATTGATTTTAAACATAAAGATTCAATTGGTAAATTATTGGGATTTATGCCGCGGAAATTATCACCTAATGAAACACACATGTCTGATTTACCTGTAGCAATTCTCAAGGTAAATTCAGTCAGAGTTAAGTGTAGCATTACATCTGGAGCGTATATAAATAATCAAAAGGCCCACACCATCCATGAATTCTTCCCTAGCGTTCCACCAGGATATAAGATTGTGGAAGTGCCAGCACACGTCATTTACCTTCCGATTGTTGTCAAGACAATACATAATATTCAACTCCGCATTGTCGATCAGGACGGTGATTTGATTAATTTTCGAGGAGAAACTATAACTATCCGATTGCACATAAAGTCAATGTAATGGGAATTGTATATAATCAAAAAGTTGGTGGAAACTATAAAACTCAGCCAACATGCCAAAGACAAATCAGTTTAAATTTGTCTCACAAGGTGTTAACACCTCAGAATCGCCTGTTCCTGAAAAAACTAGGACTAAAAGTTATACCTCAAGGAAAACGTCAAGACAAATAATTTATATATTTTTTGGGTGTTGTTGCAACAAAAATGGACGAAATTCTCAACATTCCAGCAGCAGTGAATTTTGATGAGTCAATAGCTCATTATGAAATTCATGCTCATCAACCGTATGCTTCATCCTCTTTTAACAATAGTGATGAAATTTGAATTGCAGTTCAACATCAAGATTTATGTTTTCTACCGAGTAAAAGTTCATTGCACATATTTGGGAAATTGACTAAAAATGATGGTATTGCTGTTACAGAAAACGTGCACTTGTCTAGCAATGCAATATGTTTTTTGTTTGATGAAATTCGCTATGAATTAAATGGTATCGAGATTGATCGATGCAAATACGTTGGACATACAACTATAATGAAAAATTTAGTATCTCTAACTCCACCTCAGCTAAATCTAAGTGAGAATGCAGGGTTTTCAAAAATTTCAGCTGATGCAAGAATTACTTTAGAAAATGGATATTTTGATGTTACAATACCACTTGGCATGATTTTTGGTTTTGCTGAGGATTATAAGAAAATTATTATGAACGCTAAACATGAACTTATTTTAACAAGAGCACGTAATGATACTAATGCTATAATACAAACAGGACAAGGAGCTGATGAAGAATTTAAAATTTTCATCAATAAACTAGAATGGATGGTACCATACGTTTTACCAGCTGATAATAATAAAATAAAATTATTGAAATTTATTGAAAAAGATCCTTTAATTTCAATAAGTTTTCGATCATGGGAAATGTACGAGTATCCGTTAGTTCCAACAAGTTCAAAAGTCCTATGGCAAATAAAAACATCAACACAATTGGAGAAACCACGATATGTAATTGTAGGATTTCAAACAGCAAGAAAAGATAAACGAAAAAAATATGCCTGTCATTTTGATCATTGTAACATTACAAATGTTAAACTATTTTTAAATTCACAATATTACCCTTATGGAAATTTAAATCTAAACTTTGATCAAAATCAGTATGCTCTTCTTTATGAAATGTATGCTAATTTTCAAACATCTTACTATGGAAAGACTCAGAACCTATTTTAACAAGGGCTATTTTTAAAAAACTATTTCCTCTAATTGTTATTGATTGTTCAAAACAAAATGAGTTTCTTAAACAAGCATCAGTAGATGTACGTTTAGAATTTGAATCAGGAAATAATATGCCAGCTGAGACCACTGCATATTGCCTCATTATCCATGACCGCGTTGTACAATATAAACCAATCAGCGGCGTAGTCAAGAAGTTGCTGTAGAGGAGTGGGGATAAAGTGGTAGGGGGGTATGATTGGGTATAAATGCAGTAGTTTTCAGTCAAAAATTCATTTCTGTTTCAACATGGAGTTCATCGTAGACGTCCAAGGATTTAAAAGACCCTACAACAATTTTATTTTCAAAGAGTTGGCAATACTTCCTCTTCAACCAGATGCTCAACCACTTGTCTACCTATTTGAATCACCTTGTACGTGGAATTCATTGCCAGGACGCTATAAAAGTGAAAATCGCTGGTTAACACACAATTACCATGGAATAGATTGGACAGCTGGAGACGTCTCATACGATGAACTTCGTCCCATTCTACAAGATGTATTACGAGGCGCTAGTGTCATCTATGTAAAAGGATTAGAAAAGAAGACATGGCTAGAAAAATATTTAGTAAATGTACAAAATTTAGAAGATTTTGAATGTCCATCGTTGAAAAAAATTAAAAGTGATTTGTTAACATGTACGCATCATACTCTTTATAATGATAATTGTGCTGTAAAAAATGTAAAGATTCTTCGCGATTGGTTTTTGGATCCTCCAAACCAATATATAAGTGCTATTGTTAAAGAAACTGATGAAGTTGATTCTACGTATACTAATTTAAAATCTTTCTATGAAAATTGTGAATATATTTAATAAGTTTTTTTAAATAAATAAATAAATATTAATTTTAAATAAAAATCTCTGTTAATTTTAAAAACCTATCCCTTTAATTAATTTAAATTTTATTTTATAATTCATGAAAATAAACTAATTCTATTGCTTAAAATTAACTTATGTTAGGGAAAAAGTAAATTTAAAACAAATTTATAGGTAAAACTTTGTGTTTTTATTTTTAACATTCTTTTGTAATAAATATATATACAATTATTTATTTTAAAAATTGAAATTCAACAATATTGTTGCTTGGCTATTGCTGCTTC